GGACTTACAGAGTATCTTATTGGTTTAATTTATTGCTACTAGGTGTAGTATATGTCGTAATTTATTGCTACTACATGTATAATTTCATTCCAAACTTTACAACTAAAATATTAAAATGTAAGATGTAAGACAGCTTTGCTTTTTTTTTATGTAAGCTTTTCAATGCCACGTTTCAGACATCTGGCTGTGAAACTGAAATATTACCCATTCAGGTGATTTTACTACTGCACTTCACTCCACAATATCTTTGTTCCTAAGTCTTCTCTATGCACGCAATTTAAGTTTTCAGAGGCATATGAAGTCAGTATGGCTCCTGTATAGGAAAGAACCTCTCTAGGCTGTAAATCTGTAAATCCACCTGGGCTGGAGTACAGTGTTGCTCATGGCTGAGGAGAGAGCACTTCCCATCCAGTTTCCCTCCTCCTTTGCACCTTCCCTTGCTCAGCTCTTCCTCATCAGCAAAAGAGCTCAACACCTTTTATGCCTCAGTTTTGGTTATTTATTTTCACAGAATCCCAGAATCCCTGAGGCTGGCAAAGCCCTCCCAGCCCATGGAGTGCCAGCTGTGCCCCATGGGCACCTTGTCCCCAGCCCAGAGCACTCAGTGCCACCTCCAGGGGACACCTGCAGGGATGGGCACTGCAAAGCTCCCTGGGCAGCCCCTGCCAAGGCCTGAGCTCCCTTTCCATGGGCAAATTGCTGCTGCTGTCCCAGCTGGGCCTGCCCTGGCCCAGCCTGAGGCCGCTCCCTCTGCTCCTGTCCCTGTTCCCTGGCGGCAGAGCCTGACTCCTTCTGGCTTCCCCCTCTTGTCAAGGAGATTTAAAGAGAAATAACATCACCTCTGAGCCTCCTTTTCTCCACACTGAACAACCTCACAACTTATTTAACCCTGGTGTTGTTATTTAATAATTCTGGATACTTCCAAGGATGGGAGAGATGGGCTGGTGTTGTTTTATTCAATGTTCTCTGCTTTGAGGGTCAGACTGGTGACATTAAATGGTTATTTTTTTCCAATTTCTTTTATATTATGGTTTAAAGGATATCACCCTCTGTAATGAAACCATTTCCTTTCTATCTTCTCTCTGTTGGATTGCTTCCCACTGATGCATCTGTGAGCAAGCATCCTGACTACACTTAATTATTAAAAAGTCATTGTTCAAACAGAACTCTGAAGAAAAGGAATTCTTTCTTACTGCATATTACTGGATATTAGTTCATTATGAGTTTCACCCTTGTGTATTTCTCCCCTAATTCTGGAGCCTGATATATTTTATGATATCTAGGTACAGGTACATATATTGTAAGAGCTACCAGCTACAGAGAAATTTAGCAGACGTGAAAAGGAAAAGATATTCACATTTACCTCAGTGTAAAAGTTTTGGAAAAGCACACACAATTCAGACTATGGTATTTCTTAAGTGGACATATTCACCAGGTGAGGCTTAAGTTTACAATGCATTCTAAACAAGTTATTTCAATGTATTGCATTATGGAAAGTGCATTAGAGCCAGCATGTACTGTGTTGGTTTTAGGAGGGTTTGTGTCCCTGCTTTTAAAGTGGGCATGAAACAGAACAGAGACAGTTCTGTGGGTGCCAAATGATAACAACTGCTCATGTGACCATATAAAATGTGGTATTTTCCACATATTCTAGAGCTAATAATAAAAAAAGTCACATTTGAAGAAAATTTAACCTGTAATACTTTAATTTGGAGAGAACAGAGGTAGAAACTCTGAGCTTTAACATGTCAGACTTGTTTGGTTTTGGAGATTGTGGCTTTGCTGGACAGGCACTGCAGGTGGGAGCAGCTTCCCTGCCTCTCTAACCCCCACAGCTCTGCTGCTGAATTCCATCAGATCATCCTACAACACTGGACTGAACTGGGTTAATGCATTGGTTCTTTACCCCTTATTTTACTTCAGATGCTCCTTGTATGTTTGTTAATAGTCATGTAGACCATGGCACATTTCTGTCCTTCATTCCTCACATTTTTCTTAAAGATATCTCTGTTTCTGCACATGAAGTGCAAACAAAATACACATTAATTGATACCTTTTATGCATTTTACCCCTTGTTTTACTTCAGATGCTCTTTGTATGTTTGTTAATAGTCATCAAAACCATGGCACATTTCTTTGCTTCGCTCCTCACATTTTTCTTAAATATCTCTCTGTTTCTGCACATGAAGTACAAATGAAATGCACATGAAGTACAAGTGAAATACACAGGAACTGATACCTTTTATGCATTTACAGTGTGTACTTGGTGAGCTTGGAATTGGCAGCTTCAAACCCAGCAACAACAAAATCTCCAGGCCCTGTGTCCTCCATCCCTCAGTGTGAGAGCAACAACCTGCAGATATTTTAAACCCTGCCAATTCTTGTGTCTTTCAGGACCTAGATTTCTCATCACATCCACGGGAGCCTTGTATATTTTAGATGTACAAAACGAAGATGGACTGTACAACTACCGCTGCATCACCAGGCACAGATACACGGGAGAAACGCGACAGAGCAACAGCGCCAGACTTTTTGTATCAGGTGCTCCTTTTCTGCATCTTCCTATATGAAATGAAATGAAATGAAATGAAATGAAATGAAATGAAATGAAATGAAATGCTGCCTGTGTCTCTCTCTAGTTGCTGCCTGTGTCTCTCTCTAGTGTGCCCAGATGGCAAAGCATGTTCTTGTGTGGTTTCTGTCAAACAGAAGTGTAAAATGAGATGGGTCATTTAAAAACCCTTATTTTTTAAAAAATATGTTTTTCACATCTTAGTAGTTATTTCCTGAAGTCCCTTAGGGTGTACCTGCATTCAAGATGGTGAATTTTAACATGTTTAGAGTACTTTATACAGGGACTGTGGATGGGATTTATCCCTTGTTGTTACAGGACACGAAATAACATGATGCGGACACACATTCTTTTTAAGGTAAAAAAGAGAATTTTTAATTCCTGACTCCAACATTTATAGATTTCTAAAAGTGACAGTGGATTGGAGGGTGACAGTGCCACCTCTCCAATGACATTGGACAAACTAACAGTCTATCAATTTTTTCTTTTTCTATAAAAGAATGTAAAACAAGAAGTTATTTATTTAAAGTGCATGAGAAAGTTCATTATAAGAATGTAAACATCATAAAGTTTAAAAAAAAATTAAAAAACAAAATAACAATCCCTCCTAACTATATTTGTGCAGGGGAACTTAATCACCTTAACCTCACTGTTTAACCAAAGAAGAGGAACACTTTTGGGGGTAATACACCTGTTCTGCTTTGGGGTGATCTGGGGCGCCCCATGGTGCCTGTTCCTCTCTGTTGACCCCAGCAGGAGTTCAGGACATTGCACTCAGCTGTAAATATTTCCACCTCAGCAGTCTCACGTTATCTGAGGTGTATTTCAGCCTTCCTTTTCATTCATCCCATTCCTACCTGTACTAAATTAAGCAAATGTTAAAGTAGCTATGGTCCTATTAGAAGTCTAAAGAAAGAAAGAGAAAAAAGTAATAAAGATGTTATATCCCCCTCAAAAAAGTTATTTCAGAGATAAATAATGAAAACCTTTAAACAACTCATCCTTCAAACAATACTCTATGAGTTAACATAACCCATAAATACAGCTATAAGAAAAGCTTATAAAAAATAAGAGAGATTTCACAATTTCAAATTTCCCCAGGTCACTGCTATTCATAAAAATTAAAAACCACAAAAAACTATTTACTTATAAAAAAATCTCTTTAACATTAATAAAAAAAACTTCTCTCCCTAAGTAAACTAAAAAAAAGACTATTCTAAAAGTAGTAAACAGACTAAAATCCTAAATTTTATTTCTTTTTGTTATCATTAAGAAAGAAAAATTTATAAGAAGTGTCCTAAAAGTTTTATTCTAATTCTTATTACTCTTCCTTTTAATTACTACTAATAAATTTTTTCTTTATACCCTTTTAAAATTTTAAACCTACTTCATCTTTCTCCTAATCCTACATCACAAAAAAAATTAATAAATACATTCTAATAAATACACTCGTAATTAGCCAAAAAATCTTAAATTGATGAAGCAAAACCACTACACCTGGGGAAAGCAGCATGTTCCCCTGTCCCAGGAGGGATCTCCAGCTAGAAGGAAAACATGACCAGAACTGTGCCAGTGCACCCAGGGGTGCTGCAGACAGACAGGAGGATTGGGAGCAATTTGTCCACCAGGTGGAAAAATGAGAAGCTGGATGGGCTATTTTAACTTTTCCTTGTGGTTTTAAATGAATTCCTGCTTGCTTTGTGTGTGTGATGGACACCTGAGTTCCTCACAGTCACCACACACTCAGGGCTCTCTCATTGCTGCTCCAACGCAGATTTTCCCCCATTTTTTCTCAGTGAGAGGCAGTGCCAGTTGTGGGTGAGGTGAAGGAGGAGCTGATCCCAAGCCTGGGTCTGGAACTTCCTCTCAAACATTTCTGTGTAGGATTAGCACATCTCCACCTCCCCTTCTTGCCCCTTATTTGCTGCTTGTCCATAACTGCTCCCTTTGTTTGCAGGTCAGCAAATCCAGAGTGCTTTTCCTACATCCACTGAGCTCTCTGAGGCTGTATCCCAGACTTTCTCCCATATCTTTACCCTACATAAATCATCCCCACCATCCCACTGAAAGCCCCACATTGCCTTTTCTCCTTCTCCCTGTTGCTAAGTTTCCATAAAGGTCAGTCAGGATTTGGTGACTTTCCCAATCTGACAGTCAGTGGGGTCATCCCCCTTTTGACCCGTTCCTCTCCTCTTCTGTCAGAATAAAACTCCATGGTCAGGTCTCAGCCCTCCACCCCTCTGTTTGAGAGCCCTAAAGGTGACAGAGGTGAGCACAAGGTTTTCCATTATTAACCTGCTTCTTGCCCTCCTCCAAAATGGACGTGGTTGAATTATCTTGGAGCCCTCTGAACACACAGGCCAGTACAAATATAATAATGATTAAAAAATAAATCAAATAGTGGGATTTTACAGGTTAGAATCACTTACCAGTCAGCTCCAGGAGTTCCTCCCTTTGATAGGTGTCCCCTGTGGGTAGAACTCTTGCCCCTGCTTTTCCCAACCAGATGAAGAAGTTCTCCTGCACAGTAATCTGCCTGCTGTGGTCTTTTGAGAACAGGCAGGATTCCACCCTTCCAGCTGGCTCCATAATATGGTCTGCTTCCGTGTGGAATCATGTTAAGGCTGAGCCAGTGGGAACATAAATAAAACCAGGCTTGTATCTTGGTTACCACAGGAAAAATTCTGGTTATCTCACTGAACTAAAGGGGGGAAAGGAAAGCTCTGTCTTGTTTGAAATTTAGGACAAGCAAACACCTTAAAGGATGTTCTCTGTCTAGAGTTGCCTCTTCTATTCTTCTCCACAGACCAAACTGAAATAGCACATTTTACCTGTGTGCAATAACTGGCTTTTTTAATTCAACAGGGTTAATTATTCTTGATCAGGGCTAGAGTGGGCTCTGATTTCCAGTCCTGTTAATCTACTGAGCAAGTGCAGCAAGCAGGGGCAGAGTTTGTCTCTTAAAATTTCTCTAACAAATTTTCCTTTTTCTTTACTTGGATTTGTATTTTTAAAGAGCGATTCCTCTAAGAACTGGGATCAGAGAATCCATGAACATAGTTCTGAAAATTCTACTTGCATGAGACCTACCTTTTTGCCTGCCTTTTCCATCTATATTTGTTTTTCATTTGTTTGGGATGAAACAGTTTGTGGTGGATGTTTCTCATGTTTCCTGGCCACATTTAACACAAGTTAAACTTCATTATTTTTTTTGAAACAGTGAGACTGGTAATGTGCAGATAATAACAAATAAATAAAAAATCAGCAAATAATAATATGCCTAAATTAATTCAAAGAAAGTTCCAAATTTCATCTTGAGTAAGAACATCATCTTGAAATCACATGGCCTTTCTAAATAAAATTGAACCCAAAGCCACTAACATGCAACAGAACCTACTTCTAAAACTCATTATTGTGTTGTTTTCCAACAAGAATTTTGTCCTACCATGAATCCCATCTCCCAAAATCATTACTGCTTTTTAACCTGCACACTGTGAAAAATCCTTATGATTTTTAAAGCACAAAAAGTTTCCTCTTCTGTCCTTCAAAGATGTTCCAAAGTAGAATATTTTCAAACAGTATTTTTGCCTCAGTTTTTCACCATTGCCCTTGCTGGAAGTCATTTGCAGCCGACTGTCAAAGGATAGTAAAATAATAATTCAATAGAGGCTAAACACATATTGGAAATGGGTTATGTTATTTTGATTTTATTTTGGTATTTTTTTGCCTCATTGCAGGTGATTGCAAATTGTGCTTTGTTTGGCTTTTTTTTTTGTTGTTTTTTTTTTTTATTTTTATTTTTTCCCCTTAACTGAAATATATGAACTGTAGGAGTTTTAAATAGGAGTCTTATTCCAGGGACAACCCAAAGAAAGATTTTACTGTCCATTTAAATTTATAATATATATTTATATATATTATGTATATTATGCATAAATGTAATATATATTTTATTCCACAGAGTGGAAGAAAACAGGTCACTGGAATCATATCTTGTGTATCCCTGAATATATTTGTAAAACCTCCTCTATAACAGCAGGGTGGAATTTTCTCCATTATGCAGGCAAATCTCAGTTTAGCTGTCCTGCAGCTGGGACTCCAGGCTGTGTTCAGGCTGTGCTGCTGCTGACAAGGCTCAAGTTGAGAAGGAACAAAGGGAAATGACCCTGGGATAGAGAATCCAGGATCTGCTTTGCTGCTTGAGTAGCAATGCACAGGCAATACCTCTAAAAATCAGTTATGCTTTTTTATTATTTAAATATTTAACTATTACTTCCAACTGAAGAAATTGATTTCCTGTAGATGTAACCTTCCTAAGAGCCAGAAGCTGTAATTTCTTGCCTGCTTGTGGGTTTTACTCATTTTACTCTCAGTGAATTCATCACAAAAGAATCTGAGCCTGGTTACAGGGATGGCTGATGACCCAAAGGGCGAGAGAGGAGCTGGCTGATCAATTAGTCAAATTGACATTGGCCTTCCCAACAGCATCCTGGCAGATTGTGCTTTCACTGAGCCAGACATAAACAGCATGGCAAGCTCAAAAATTTGTCCCATCCTGGTGCCAAATGTGGACCTGGAGGCCACTGATTCATCCAAAAACACTCATTGAACCACCACTGATGCCTTCCTAATGAGACATCAGCAAGTTGAATGTGCCTTTGCCCTCAGTGGCTCAGGGTTTTCCTGGCACCTAGAAAGCAGAAAAACCCCTGCTGTCAGCTTTCACTGGACTTGACATTTTGGGAGTTTTATTGAGATATAGTCACACAAAAAAAACCCCAAAGATATTTAGTCCATTTTTTTAATATCATGATTTTGGTTTCTGGATTGATAGTTTAACTTGAATAGCCTTAAGATGTTTGCTGTCCTGCGTGCCCTCCCGGTTGTGGCTGTAGTTCATAAAGATATATTTAAGCTTTTTTAAAACCAGCTAGCTCAGGTACTGATTACTTTTGGAATAACTTGAATTCAGCATGAACTGCTCCTTTAATCTCTCCAGTTTTCTACAGAAACCTGCTGCAGCTGCCCTGTGAGCAGCACTAAGTTTGCTAAGCTAAAATGACACTTGAAAATGCCATAATTGTGGCAATTACACCTACATCTAATCAGCTGTGATTAGATATACCCAAAAAGAGGTCAGTGTGTCAGGTAGGAGCTGGTCAGCATGTGGGGTTTCTTTGTGAGACAGAAATCTTAGCAAAGCGTGTGCATGTGATGAGAAAATACTTTGATGAATATTTTTTCACTATTTTTGTTGCAAAAGCTCCAGCATGGGCTGCAAAAAAAATTTAAATAGTGTCAACCTCTGTCTCAAAAATTTTCAAATCTGAAATTCCATACCAAGCATTATTTCTGATGGGTACATGCACCTCTGGTGAAGGCAATCCTGCCAGACACCTGTGAGCTACATAAATCTGTGCCAGGTGCTGCACGAGTGAGGGCTGCAGTTGTCAGCAAATTGAGCACAGAAAGATGCACTATTAAGCTGTAAGTTGGTCTTGTCACGTTAAGTTCTTTTCCCACAGAAGAAGAAAAGGCTTGTCTGTCATTTTGACTGCAGATAGAAATCCCTGTGCCTTTGCCCATTTGTCTCCTGACAAGGGAATAAATTGCTCCTTTAATTCAAAGCCTTCAGACCACCGAGAGAAGGGACAATGTGTTGGCTCCAATCTAGTCGAGAAGTGGCAATAATTGCTAAGGCAACACATTTCTGGCTCTCTGTGCCTCTCACAGGGAACATGAAGGATGACCAGCAAAACGTTTGCCACCTGGAAAAAATCCAGTGAGAGGATTTCCAAGCAGTGATGAGCTGCTTCAGCAGCATGTGCTGCTGGATCCCAGCCACCATGACTCAAACTGGTTGGCTGGGTCAGAGAAGCAAACTGTAGTGCCCAAAACACTGGGCAGGCGAGTCAGAAAATGCAGGAGTGTGGTGGTGTTTGAGGGAAGGGATGAGAATCTTGACTCCATGTTTCAGAAGGCCGATTTATTCTTTTATGATATATATTATATAAAAATAAAATTATATAATAAAAATATACTAAAGAAAGAGAAAGGAGACATCAGAAGGCTGGAAAAGAATGAATAATAATGTCTCATGACAGACCAGAGCCTCGACACAGCTGGACCATGATTGGTCATCAAGTAGAAACAATTCACATGAGACCAATCAATGATGCACCTGTTGGTAAGCAACCTCCAACTCACATTCCAAGCAATCAGATAATTATTGTTTACATTTCATTTCTGAGGCCTCAGTTTCTCAGGAGAAAAATCTAGCGAAAGGATTTTCATAAAATATGTCAGTGATGCAGGAGAAAAAATAACTATATGCTGCTTAGCGAGTTAATTTTAAGTTTCTCTGTGTTTCCTGCTCCAGACCCAGCGAATTCAGCTCCATCTATCCTAGATGGGTTTGAGCACCGCAAAGCCATGGCAGGACAGCGAGTGGAGCTGCCTTGCAAAGCATCAGGGCACCCGGCACCAAAGTACCGCTGGCTGAAGGACAACGTGCCCTGGGAGCCCGACAGCCGCTTCCGGCAGACGGTGACGGGGCTGCTCATCGAGAACACGCGGCCCTCGGACTCGGGCAGCTACGTCTGTGAGGTGTGGAACAACTACGGCACCGCCGAGGTCATCGGCCGCCTGCACGTCACACGTAGGTCCCGCCTTGGTGCCACCAGGGAGAGGGGAGTGTCGCGACACGTCCTGATAAACGGGTTTTGTGACGGTTCGTGAATTAATTTCAGAGTGTGAAAAAAACGACACGGCACAGGAGATTTGCAGTGATAATCATAAACAAATGCACCTTTTTTGAGAGACTGTCCTTATTCAGAGCAAATTTGGGAGAGAACCCCCCAAAAGGGCTCCTCTAGGAAAGCAGATTCAATCGGCCCCTCCCCGCAACTGGTCTGAGAGAAAATACTTCCTTGGAGAAAAGTGGAAAAAACCTGTTTATTAAACAGTAAACCTAAACAATATTAAACAATAAACCCCTTGCTGCTCCAAAAGAGATGACGAACTGAGAAAGTCACTCCCTGGGTTGCAGCTGAGCTCACTCAGTCTCTGATCAGTCCCTCAGTGCTGGAAATGTCGCAGGCCAGGCCCGGCCCGGTGGGCCTCAGGTGGAGCTGCCAGTGCTCCCCTGGGTGTTCAGGCCAGAGCAGGGTTAAACAGCTCCAAAGAAAAGGGAAAAAAGAAAAAATAAAACCACATTCCAGGGACCTTCTTTGCCTCAGCTAGCTAAAACTAACTAAAAGCAAAGGAGAGCTCTGTCCTGCTGTCTGTCCATCCACAGACAGCACAGTCAGGAGCAGGAATGTGGAGGAGTGAATGCAGTGTCTGAAAACAAACTGCAGCTTCTTCTCTCCCCCCTTCACTCTCTGGAACAAATCCTAAAGGTGCAAAACTTATTATTCAGCATAATAGAACAATTGGGGATAGAAGCATCATATAGTCAACCCCACAGGAAAATACGATAGAGGTGTCTCTGTCTTTCTGGGAGCCTCTCAGGAACCCCAGAAAGCCCCAAGTTGGCCAACAGTGGGGAGACACTCTCGTGCCCTGAGGGTACTGAAGACACCTAGGCTGGTCACCTTTGCAGCAGAAGAGACACTAGAGGCATCGGTAGAAGATAAAGCGCCAACTCTTAGCAGGGCTTAATCC